TCTGCCTCACCCCTGGTGTCTCCTTGTGGCTTCTGAAGTCCCCAGAGACACCAAAACGCCCTGCCAGGCTGGTGGGGAGGGGTGGCAGGACCCCAAAAGGGCTGCAGGGGCTTGGTGGGTTCAGTTCTGGGTGAGGAGGGGTGACAGGACCCCAAAAAGCTGCAGGGGTTGGTGGGTTCAGTTCTGGGTGGGGAGGGGGTGAGAGGATGATTTTTAGGGACGTGGCTCATTCCAAAGTCAAGAAAAGCCATAAAAAAGCCAAATTTTTTTAGAGGGAGGAGGGGAAAAAAGGTCCTTGAAAGAAACCCAGTGTTATTCAAGTGGTTTAAGAAAGCTCCCTCTCCCACCAGCCTTTTGCAAGATTTCTTCCTGAGAAGCCTCCCCCTTCCCTGAAGATCCTTTTTAATTTTTTTCTTTGGAGCACAGATGAATAAACCCCAGGCTTTGTTCTTAGCAAGGATCTTTTATCAGCACCTTGCCCTGATAGCACCAATTTTCATTTCATCTGCAAATGGGGATGGGGAACTGATCTGATCAAACAAGAACCAGCCCAAACCCAAGCTCTAAACTCAGCTTGAGCTGCTGAGAGGGTCCAATGAGTTCACACAACTTCCTGCATTTCATCCATCCCCATTCCCTCTGTACTTCCAGGATCCCACTGGGAAGAAAAAAGGGACTTTTCATCAGCCTCCAGGCTCAGATTTAGGAATTTTCTCAAAGTGAAGCAGCAGCAGCTTAAAATGACAGATTTAATGAGCAAGAGAAGGTGACAACAGTCGCTGTCACCCCCGTTATTGTCACCCATCCTGTCACACCAAGGAGCTGCTCAGCTCTGACAGTCAAACCCTGCTGTTTCTCCAGCTCTTTTCCCAAAAACCATTTCAAAATTCAACCCATTTTAGGTGCAAAGACCCCCAAGGCTCCTATTTCCACACCTCTATCAGTCAGGAAATCCCAGCAGCAGAGTTTGTCCCTCACCCCACCGTGGGAAGCATCTCCAAACCCCCTCAGTCTGGCTTGGGAGGATTTTTGCAGCTGTGGATGAGATTGAGAAAAATTTGGATAAATCCCTTTGTCCATCAGAAATTGGGAATTGCTCATAAAGGAGCCCAAACCCCCTGGGATCAGCAGCCTCTGGTGCACAACCAAAGTTTGCCAAACTTTCCCATTATCCTGCTCTGAAGCAGAGCCAGGCCAGGACCATGCAGGAATGGCTCTGGATGCTCCAATCCAGGTGGGAATTTGGGCAGAGCTGCCCAGAGCCCATCCCAGCCCAGGGAGCAGCAGGATTCCTTCCCCCTGTGGTTTCCTGCCATGACACTGATGTCCCTGTGAGCTGGGGTGGCTTCCCCTGCCAGCCCCCACCTCTGATCCCTGGAAAAATCCAGGCAGGCACCTGGAATGGGCTCCTGGCCTTGGCAGAACAGCCAAATGTGGATACAGGGCTCGGAAAATGGGGATAATTCTGGGATTGCTGCAGTTGGATGATGTATTTGCACCTGCCTGATCGAGGATGAGCTGGAAAAGGGAGATTCCAAAAGGCTCTGGTGGGGAATCCATGCCAGGAATGAGGCAGAGGCTTCGTGTCCCTGTTCCTGGAGTCTCTCCAGGCAGTTTTTGGGATCCCTTAAAGGAATCCATGGCAGGGATGTGGCCTCTCTCGTGTCCCCATTCCCAGAGTCTCCCCAGGCCATTTTCAGGATCCCTTCAGGGACCAGCTCATCACCACCCCTGGATAAAGCAGGAGAGGCTGGAGCAGCCCTGGCTCTGCAGAATGTGTGGATCTGACAATTCCCAGCATCCCTGATCCCAAGGAATTGCTCCAGTGACTGTCCTATCCAGCTTCTGGAATGTCCAAAGTGGCACTGGCCAGAGAACTTGTCACCCTCTGCTCTTCAGGAGGGCAGGTGAGGAGCATTCCCATTTTCTGGAAGAATCCAAGGAATTGAGGGGATTTAGGGAGTGCAGAGAGCAAAACTTGCAGAGCTCCTCTGTTCTGTCAGCAACCCAAAATCTGCTTTTCCACAGAAAAATAAAGTTCTGAGCTGCACAATTTAAAAAAACAAACAAACAAACAAAAAAAACCCAAAAAAGGGAAAAAGCAGCTTGGATCCATCTCCTCATCCCTTTGGATCCCAGAACTCCAGGCAGGGGGATGGGAGGGAGCAGAACATCCCCTGAGTCACCGGTGGGGCTGGGAACAGCCTGGAGCTGGGGGTGAAATTCCTGCTGGATTAGACGTGGATTAGATCAGGAGCTGGTGGGATGGGAAGGAACAGATTTGACATCACTGGGTGTTGAAATTAAAGGCCCAAAGCAAAAATCCATCAAATCCTGGAAGCAGGAATGATGTCTGATATCCCAGTCTGGCCACAGAGAGCTCCTGGCATCTGCTGCAGGCTCATCCTGATGGAGCAAAACTTCCAGAAGGAGCCATGGGGTGTCCATGCCATGCAGGATTCCCTGGGAATAGCTGGGAGGAATCTCCTGCCTGTCAGGGGTGGCTGTGGATGAATTCCAACTCTCCCAAGACTTTTCCAGTGGAGCTGGATATGGAGCACACAAAATTCCCTCTTTATCTCCTGCTGCCCTGCATTTCCAGCAGCTGGAATTTGTTGCTTTGTGGGAACAGCTTCTCCCCTGTGGTTATTTAGAGGTTTGGATAAACATCTCTGAGTTTTCCCCTGGAAAAATTCCCCCCTGGAATATCTTAACTCCCACCCTGAGAGGTGTTTGGCATCCTGGAAACTCCTCCTCACTTTCTGTACCTGTGGCATCTTTGTGAAAATTCAAAATTCCAGCTGGGAGCACTCAGAGCTTGTCCACATCCCCACACCTCACTGGGAATTCCTTTCTGGATCAGATTCCTCTTCCAAATAACAAATCTAGGGATAAAACTCCAAGACTTTCACTTCCAGAGTCTTCAATAACCACAAATTGCTGCCAATATCACTTTAACAAGCAAATAATCTCCCTCAAGTAGAAAAAAATGACTCAAAACTCTAAATAAAATATAAAACCCAACAGCCCCGTGGATTTAAACAATGTTGGAGTTCTCATTCCTGGAGAAAAAACAACCCCAAACATTCCCAGAAATTCAGTTTTTTCCCTGCTGGCCCAGCAGAAGCTTTCTGAGCACATCAAGTGTTTGTCACCGTCAAACTGCAGCCAAAACCTCTCAGATTTGGTTATCCAAGGAATTTGGGGGGCTCAGAGGAATTTTCAGTCTCAAGTGGGAGGAGGGTGGATTTGGGTGGATTTTTTGGGGGGGATTTTCACAGCTGAGGGCTGTGAAAACTCGGTGCTGCCGATTTGGTTTCTGGATGGAGAGGCTCAGAAATCAGAATATCTCGGTCCCAACGTGCCCTCTGCTGGCAGCGGCTCTGGAACGAGGAAATCCCGGGAATGAGGAGGGAACCAACCACAGCAGCTCCATCCTTTTATCCAGCACATCTCTGGGAAGCCACAGAGGGATTTCAGGGCCAGGAGATTAAACGGCTCCAGGTTTTCCTCTGAAAAATTCCCCACTGGAATTCGCATCCTCAGAGGCTTTTTGCATCCTGGAAACTCTTCCCCACTTTCTGTGCCTGTGGCAACTTTGGGAAAAATGGAATTTAAATTCCCAATAGGAGCACTCATGAAATAGGGATGGACACAAGGAGGCAGCAGGATTTTTTGCTTCCAAATGGTCCCTTTGAAATGGGATTCATAGAGTCATAAAATCATGGAATTGTTGAGGTTGGAAAAGCCAGGAAATCCTGGGAAAGATGGAACCAACCACAGCAGCTCCATCCTTTTATCCAGCACATCTCTGGGAAGCCACAGCAGAATTTCAGAGCCAGGAGATTAAACGGCTCCATGCTTTCTTCTGAAAAATCCCCCACTGAAAAATTCCAGTTCAAATGGAATTTGAACTCCAAGAGGTTGTTCTGCATCCTGGAAACTCTTCCCCGCTTTCTGTGCCTGGGGGAAAATTGAATTGAAATTCCAAATGGGAGCACTCATGAAATAGCCCTTGGAGTGCCAAAGGCCCCTGACAAACCAACATCAGGAACCTGGAGGGGTGAGTTTGTTATTCCCTGGAAAAGGACAAAGGGCTGCCCATCGTGTCCCATTGCCATGAGCGGAATTCTGCCTCTAAAAATTAGGAATGGAGCAGGATTCCTCCCAGACCCAAGCTGTCCCCACCTAGAACTCGGGCTGCCCTTGGAGTGAGAAACTCTGGAAGGAGGAGGATGGGGATGGTGTTGAAGGAGGTCTAGCCCAGCTAGTTCATGTCCAGGGCCCGTGGCTGGGAGCAGGCCCCTGCCTCCGAAAATTACAAATGGAAAAGGATTCCTCCCAGACCCAAGGCATCCCCATGTAGAACTCGGGCTGCTCTTGGAGTGCCAAACACCTCTGACAATCTGACATCAGGATCCTGGGGATGAGTTTTGTTTCCCCTGGAGAAAAGCCACTGTTCATGTCCAGGGCCCGTGGCTGGGAGCGGGCCTCTGCCTCCAAAAATTATGAACACAGAAGGATTCCTCTTGCACCCAAGCCATCCCAACCTAGAAGTCATTCTGCCCTTGGAGTGGCAAACACCTCTGACAATCTGACATCAGGATCCTGGGGGTGTGAGTTTTATTTGAGACATGAGAAAAGGCCGCTGTTTGTGTCCAGGGGCCTGAGCAGGCCTCTCCTCATAGCGGGAAGTTGGGGACAGCCCCCCCCAGCCCTGATCTCCCCAGCAGGGATCTTCAAGGCAGATGTTCGGAGCTATAAAGGTGTTTTCCAGCCAAAATCACTCTGCAGCAGCCTGGCCTCATGTCTGAAGCTTGTTTACATCCAGAGCAGGTGGGGTGTGGGGTCAGGCTGCTGTGAGAACATCCCCCACATCCCTGCACTCATGGAATAGCAGCTAATTGAGCTGTTTATTTACACTGTAAATAAACATTTACATGCATTGTAAATAAACCTATTTATTATATACACTTTATATATTATATTTACTTCCTGCATTATGTAAACACTTCCCTTTACTAGAGATAGGGCAGATTATTAAAACCCAGACAGAGCTGTCATTACAATTGCAGGTTTATTATAATCTCTGGTCCCAACACAAGACACAAGAGCTTCCCTTTCACTGGATGGTACAGAAAAAGAATTTAAAAACCAGCCATTTATTTCTGTACAGTTATTTGTCCTTGGGGCACAGACAGACGTGGCACTGCCATGGACCCATGCTTGAGAAGGAAAACTGACATTTTTGCTTTGCTAGGACAGAGGCTTTGAGGTTTTCTTGGCCATGAGAAAAGTAATTAGGCAGTGAAGGGGTTGTTCCCACTAATGAGGGAATGTTCCCACTGGGATGGACTGGAGAGTGAGTGGCTCTCACCACGTTCATGCCTGTTTGTACCACCAAAATTCATTTTCCACTCCATTCCTCCCTAGCTGTGCCCTGCCAGCGTGGCAAACAGATCGAAATGTGAAGCTTTAAAAGGCATAAAGTGATCTACAAACTGAACCTAAAAATTAACTCACAACTCATCGACTCCTCATGTGACCAAACCTGTGGCTGATTGATGAATTTTGTCCTGGCCACTTCAGCATTAGAACAATTTACAAAGTCATCAAAAATCCTCAGCCAGCATCATGATCCAGCACACAGAGGATGCTTCTTACAATGCCAGTGCCAGCAGTCAGCTGTAGGTGGCGATTTTTAGCTCCTTTTCAAGTTTCTGGATCTCCAGGTAGAGTTTCTGGACTTCCAGCAGGGTTTTCAGTTCTGACAGAGGAATTCCACACTGGAAAGCTGCTTTGTTTCGAAGAATCCTCTCACACACATCACGCTTCTTCTTTAAAACAACCAAAACAAAGGCAGAGTGAGAGTCCAGTGAGGGGTGACAGAGAAACTGCCACCGTGAAGCTGGACCAAAGCTATTCCAGGCTATAAATGGGGAAAGAAACAGGAAAAATGGGGCAAGAAAGAGGAAAAAGGGGGCAGCTGGTGGTACTTACACACGAGGGTGGTGGTGTCCAGGTGCCATCAGCTGAGCAGGTGGTTTTGGAAGCTGCCCCATCACGTTTGCAGTGGAAGGACACCGTTTCGTTCACCTCGTACCACAGCTTGTTGAAGTGAACCACGACGTCCTCCTGCCTCGGGAGCTGGGAGCACCTAACTGAGGGGAAAACACACACAAAACATCAAATAATGGGAGGAGATGGAGGAAAAACCACCCTGCAAACTCCCCCTGCGGGCCAGCAGAGCAGCACCTGGGCTGTGCAGGGCAGGGCTGGCACTCACCTGGCTGGCAGGTGGGCAGGGGAGGGCCCCAGGTGCCATCAGCCAGGCACTGGCTCTGGGCAGCGCCGCGCAGCCTGAAGCCTTCATCACAGGAGAAGTGCAGGAGCAGCCCGTAGGGAAAGGTGAACGTCTGTGGGGTCATCCTTGCCCTCTCCACCACGGGCTTGGGGCACCGGATCACTGCGGGACAGAGCAGAGAGAGTGGGCTCTGGGGACAGCAGAACCTGGGCAGAGCTGCTCCTCCTGCTGCTCTCTGCAGCAGCTTCCTGCTCAAATGCAGGAATTGACCCTCAGCCTCAAAGGCATGCTGAGGAGTCCTGGTGTCACACAGGAGCTGCACTGGTTCATCCACTCCAGGCTGGGAGCTCCTGGACCGGGGTTAAGCTGATCCCACACTCACCCCTGCACTCCGGGGCAGGTCCACTCCACGCCAGGCTCTTCCCGTCATCCGAGCTGCAGTAGATGGACTCGTCCCCCACGAGGGTCAGCCCCTCTTCACATTCATAAGTCACCCTGGTGCCATAAGGGAACTCTGTGTCACCTCTGCCAGAGTGGTACCCAAAGGAGATCTGTGGAGGGGGCCCACAGACTGTGGAACAAAGGGAATTGATAAAGAAAGGCACGTGCAGTTGTCATCTTCAGGTGAGAATCAAAAGCATTTCTGGGAAAGCAGCACAAAGGTCACTTCATGGGTGGTGTGAGGCAAATTCACAAGCTGCTGCCTGGATTCTGGCCTCTTACAGCAGCTCAGGGCTCCAGAAATATCAGTGTATTTCCAGTGGTGGCCTCCCCACTCCTGGGGGCCATGGTGGGATTCAGTCAAAGCCTGGACCTGATGATGTTGGAGCTATTTCCCAACCTTTATGATTCTAATTCCAGCTCTGGGGAGGGGACACCTGGCTGAGCTGGTGTCCCCAGGAGCAGGTGTTGCAGGCAGATCAATCTGTCCCCTGAGTGTCACACGTACCTTTGTCACAGAAGGGCAGCACGGGCTCCCAGCTCAGATCAGCCCCACAGGTGATGGACGCCTGGCCCCTGAGGGCAAAGCCCTCCTGACACGCCAGCCTCACCTGGGCCCCCACGGGGTAGTCACTCCTGCTTTTACCAACCTCCCTTCCATGAGGGATGTCTGGCTCTGGGCAGTGTGGCTCTAGGAATAACAGGGAATAAAGGATGTTGTGTATTTCCAAAAAGAACTCCAGTCGTGCTCTCTATGGAGAAGAGCTACCAACAAATCTGAACCCTGGGTAGAAAAGTGGCCATCCCCAGGTGTGGGTCTCAGGCTGCCTCTGTGAGCCTAAAGGGTCACTACAGGGAATTGGCTGTGCTCTGCTGGCTGCCCTGGGAAGTGGAGCAGGTTTTTCCATCCTGGCAAGGTTTTCCTGAGCTTTTGTGGCTATTGCTGTGGTTCTGAGTCAGGAGTTGGAGCAGTATTTACACTCATTTTCTCCCGACAGGGGAAATGCCTTGGGAACATCCTGTGCTCCCCAGCTTTGTGTCAGCAAAGCAGCCCCAAACACATCCCCTTCTAGCTGGGTAAATGTCTCCCAGGGCTTCTCAGGAACCTCCCAAACCTCTAGAAGCTTCCAACACACCACCCTTGCACCTCTGCAGACACCAGCTCAGCCCTGCCAAAACCTTGCTCTTTTTCTGTGGGGCCCATCTGGATCTTTTGCCGCCTGTACATTCCACATTAGCCCAGGAGAAATAGATCTGGGGCCACCTGGAGTGGGGGAAAGCTCTCCATGGCTTCTATCATGATCATCCCTCCCCTCTGTCCCACCTGGAATGCACTCTGGCACTGCTGGATCCCATCCACCATCGCTGCCACAGCGGAGGGTGATGCTGCTGCCACGGCCTCTGAAAGCAAATCCTTCACTGCACGCCACTTCCAGCCTGTCTCCGTACTCATAACCCTCTTTCACTTGCCATGGGTGCAAGGGCTTTCCATTTGGGATGTGTGGATCTGGGCAATGAATTCCTGGGAAATGCCAAACATCAGCAAGGGTGAAACCACGGCAAAGACAAGTGGGAGACAGGAAAATGGTTGTGAAGATGAGGATGGATGTCTTGTAGGACACAGACACATCGTAACATTAAATCTGCCCCAAAAGCATCCCTGGGGGGATTTTCTGGGGGGTGGAATGTTTCTGCTGCACCCTCAAGACCACAATGGATGTTTCCCAGAGGTTCAAGGGACCTGAAAGCAAAACTGGCAAATAAAGCAAAGCAAACTCTGCAGCTGGAGAATAAATCAAGAATTCCAGAATCAGCAAAGACCAAGCTGGGCCCTGGGGCATCCCCCTGACCCCCAGGCAGTCCCCATCCCACCAGGCACTCACTGTCACACGGAGGAGGGGGCTCACTCCACACAAAACCCTGCAGGCAGCTGATGTTCCAGGTGGTTTTCCCCACGCTGAACTGGTGGCCATGCTGGCACTCATAGGTGACCACGGTGTCCACAGGGAACAGATTCCCAGCCAGCTTGGCTTTCACAGCATTCCTCACATCCGGGGGCTCATCGCAGCTGCCTGGGGGTGAGACACCAGTTTAGGGACAGTGGAGCATCACAGGGCCTGGGGTGGAGGGAATTGGGGTAAAAAACATGGGCTCACATTGTTCATTCTGAGATGCATTGAATCATGTGGGTTCAGAAAGGGTAAAGAGGGAATGCAAAGGAGACAAATGAAAACATACAAATATTTTTTTTTCTCCTGGAGAGAGACTTGTCACAAGGGCATGGGGTGACAGGACAAGGGGGAAGGGCTTTAAGATGAAGGAGGTCAGGTTTAGGTCAGAAATTCATCCTGATGAGGGTGATGCCCAGAGAAGCTGTGGATGCCCCTGGATCCCTGGAAGTGTCCCTGGCCGAGCTGGACAGGCCTTGGAGCAGCCTGGGACAGTGAAAGGTGTCCCTGCTGTGGCAGGGGTGTGTGGGATGGGCTTTAAGGTCTCTCCCAACCCAAACCATTCCAGGACTCTGAGTTTGGACCGCAGAACAATTTTCACCATTACAACGATCTGTAATTCCCCATCCAGGGGATGCTCTCTGAGCAGAGGGGGGTCCCAGGGGCTGCTGGCCCTGCACACTCACTGCGCTGGCACACGGGCAGGGGGGGCTCCCAGAGGTCACTGTCCCTGCAGCTGGAGGCCCCGCTGCCGCTGAGGCTGTAGTGCAAGTCACAGTCGAACACCACGGTGTCCCCAAAGGTGTAGTGGGGTCGGTACCCGCTCAGCAGCTTCCCATTCTCCACTCTTGGCTGCTTACACGTCACCACTGGGCCGGGGGAAGCACACAGGCAATCAGCAGTTAGGCTTCAGAGGGGATGTGAGGGATTTGAAAAAGTCCCCGTCGCCTTTTGTCACCAAAAGGGCTGAAAAGGGCCAGGACAGGGTGATGGGGTGGGTTTATAGGCTTTACCCTGGGTTACTGCAGGGCGTTTTAGGGCAAAGCAAAGAGAGAACACAGGTTTGGAAATGCTTTGCAGCTCTTCGCTTTTACAGCAGGTGAGAGGGATCTCCTGCCCTGTGAGCACAGTAAAATCCCACTCCCACATCCCTGCTGCCACAGTCAGCATCAGAGGAGACCCTAACTCCTGTCCTACCTGCAAGAGGTGATTCCATTCCAGCAGGATGAAGGTTATCCGTGGTTGTGCAGATAATTGTGGCCTCTCCCACCAGGGAGAAAGGTCTCTGCCCCCTCCTGGGGCTGTGGCACCAGTAGGTGACAGAATCCCCGTACACAAAATGCTCCTTGTCCATCCCACTGTGCTGCCCATTTGCGATTTCTGGAGGGGGTGCACAGGGAATCGCTGTGGAAGGAGGGGAAGATCACATAAGAAGGATTAAATTCATTTTAAACCAAAGATCTGGCCAGAAAAAGGTGGAAACAGGAGGTGGCAGAAGGGTCAGGAATGAAAGGCAGGTTTTGAGGAGCTGCACCAGCCCCAGGCTCTGACTGGGCACTGAGGAGGTTTGGGATATCCCAGGCTCAAATGCAGCTGCATCACTCCCAGAGAGTGAATTTCCTTCTGCAGGAAGGGAAACACAGATTAAAAAATGTCTTTCCAGGCTCCACTGTGCACTGAGATGGCAAAATCCTCAGCAGAGCAACACAACAGCTTGTTTATCCAGCCACACCCCAGATAATTAAAGAAGATAGTTAAGGAACTCTGCTTACCCTGACAGGTGGGAATGTCTCTGTTCCATGTGAGAACCTCATTTCTAAGCACACATTCAATCTCAGAGTGTCCAGTCAGTCTGTACCTGTGTGAGACAGGGGAGAGGGAATTACTCCACAAACTCAGCCCTGATGTGTTACCCACATCACCACCAGGAAGGTTTGGGCTCCTTTGTCAGAATTCCAGCAGATCAGAAATCCATCATCAGTGTCATTTTCTCAAGGATAGACGGGCTTTTGACAAAAGCACTCTTTAAATTTAAAAAAATGACACATTTCTAAGGAAAAGAATACACTTTATTAACTGCTTACACCTCTGAGCTCAGTATTCACATCTCTCCTTCAAAAAGACACCGAAACTTTTGGAATGGTTTGGGAAGAGCCAGGAGGGTGAACCTGAATTTGGGAAGAACTTCCTCAAAGCAGGAGATCAAGACACTCACAGGCAGTCTTAAAGCTCCCAAAGGAAAACTCAGAAGGTATTTTCTGCAATTATCTACAGATATTTATTAATTATCTATCTACAGATATTTATTAATTAATTATCTATTAATGGGGGAGCCTCTGACAGGAAAAAACTTTGGGAAACTGTCTGGGGAGGAGGAAAGCCTGTGGCTCAGGTGCTCCTGGCTTACCCAGTGTCACAGGTGAAGTTCACTGTGGAGCCAAAAGTGAAGGATCCGGGCAGGAGCAGTCTGCCGTGGGCCGGCTCCCCGGGGTAGGTGCACGCCTTGGCTGGGGACAACAGGGCTCCAGTCAGCTCCCAGCTCAGTTTCTTGGCAGGAAAGCCAAAGAGTCCCCCAGTTGTGAGGCAGGGGATGGATCAGAGACCTTCAGATCTCCCGTCCAGCCCGAGGTTATCCCGTGACTCCCGATGCTGGCCAGACCTGCCCCTGGGGTTTGCAGTGACCTGTGGCACTGCCTCTGCCCAGCTAAAGGATTCTCCCTCTGACAGTGAGCTGACAGTGGTCAAATAAGAGATTTTTAGGCTTCAGGCACTAGCTTGAGCCTGTGGGAAAGTCAAGTACACAACTTGCTCACTCTGGCCTGGGAAATCATAAGGAGGAATCCAAGCAGGCCTTAGAGAAGGAAAACAGCATTTGCAGGTGTTGTCTCCTTGTTTACTTGCAAGAAACGGTCGAGGGGTGTTGTTTCTAACTGTGATGTGTTGATGACCAATTAAAGTTTTACCTTTTTGGACCTTCTTGGAAGTGTCTATAAAAGAAAATCTGGAAGAATAAAAAGTGCTCTCTTTTGCAACTAAACCTAGAGAGTGTGTGCCTTCACTTCACCGTTCCTAACACAGTGTGACACCTCTGCAGCTCACAACTGCTTTTCTAGACACCAGAGTTCAAAATGCCTGAGCAGAAAGACATCCTTGGAGCCAACAGTGGAGCACAGCCAGCACCAGAGCTGATTGCAGCTCCTGCCAGCACCCAGAGGAACAAAACTCCCCTTCAGGTCACTCATTGCCGCCTTTGGGCACTGCTCCAACAGAAGGAGCTGAGAGCATCAGCAAACAGAACCAAAAGCCGGTTTGGGTTGGGAGGGAGCCTAAAGATCACCTTGGGCTGATGAGGCAGGGACACCTCCCACGGGAGCAGGGACACCCAGAGCACACTCACGGATGCAGATGTCGCTTGGCCCGTGCCACACCCCGTTGGCTCCACAGATGAGGACGTTTGGAGTGTAAGCTTTTCTCCCGTAGCCTGGCCGACAGACCAGCTCCATCCTGAATCCATAGGGGAACATCTCAACGTCCTCCACCTGATCCTTGGGCTCTGCCGACTGCGACCGCGGCGGGGCCGCGCAGAGACCTGCGGACACAGAGCCCACCAGAAACGTGCTGGGAGAAAAACCAGCGGGCTTCCAGGCCTGATTCACCCTGCAGCTCCAGGGGAGGACCCCTCAGCGCTCCAAATTCTCCTCAAGGCCAGAAGCAAAGAGAAGTGCAGCCTGTGGCTGGTGGGGATCTGGAGGAATTTCACCATTCCTGCTCCTCACACCTCAGCCAGCAGATTCAGCCAGAAACAAATTCCAGATGAAGCATTTTTTTCTCCCCATTTAGTATTAATTATTGCACTTTTTCACCTGAAATAGTTTTGTATCTGCTTCCCACAGAAAGGGGAAAAAAAGGCAAAGGAAGTTGGATTCTGATCACAAAGATTTACAGAACCCTTGAAAGGCAATGAGGAAAGCAGCAGGATCCAAGTCTTGTAAAACCCAGGAGAAAGTTTTCCTTTGGGAATCTCAGTTCATCCTGATGGCCTCGTTCACTTACTGTGGACAGTCACAATGAGAGCAGCAGTGAGGAGTGACCCAAGGACAGCTGCACAATTCCTCAGCCTCCCCAGCTCCAAGGCTGACATGTTTATTCCTGCCTGGAGATCCCACAGATGTTACCACATTCCCCTCCTCAGCCAGTATCTGTGAAGACAGCAGAGGGGTCTTTAGGGGTATTTATACTCAGCTGTATGCACAGGTCTGATTTCTCCACCCCTGAGCAGTTCCTACAGTCACAGGAGAGGAGCAGAAGGAGCAGGAGCTGAATTTCTTTTCTGGAAACTTATGGGTAAAACACTTTATTTGTAGCAATAAATCTCTTGGAAGTCAAGTCCTAGTCAGAAGAAATCCTGCTGGAGTCACCAGTAGAGCTCCCTAACAATGAATTACCCTCAGAGAGAGAGAAAAGGATTTAAGCAAAAAGTTCATCAGTTCTGTGCAAATATTACCTGAGTCAAGCTGTAGAGCTCACAAGTCAATCAAACCAAACTACTTTACAAAATGGAATTTAAGTGCAATTTGCACTCACCTGGCACCCCTAGGGATCTGTAAGAGCCCTCTCTGTGTTATCCAGAGTCATTCATGAGCCTGAACCCTCCCAAACCTCTTGGAAATGAGGGTCCCCCTCACTGCTCCCTGCCCTAAACCCAACGTTTCCCATGCCTGTTTCACCCCTCTGCCTATCTGACAATCCTTGCCACACCTCCTGCTCTCACCTGATTTAATTTCCAGACCTTTGTGCCTGCTGGAGCTGCACAGAAGCTCCAATCCAGCTCTCAGGAGCAGCACTTGGAGCTGCCTGGCTGGGAATTGTCTTACCTGGAAGTGTGGAGTCAGGAGATGGGAGAGCCCAGGCGTGTTCAGCACTTGCAGGATGAAACGGGGACTGCTCTCCTCCAGCCCCCCAGGCTCCAGCCCCAGGCAAAGCAGGAGTTTTGTAACACCCACATGCTCAGATCTGGCCCCACCAAGCTCCAATTCTGCAGAAACCAACCAGAGCTGGCCCGTTGACCCATAAATCATTAACTCCTCCCGAGCAAGAAGGAAGGGGTTTATTCCAGCCCCAGAGCAAAACACAACAAAACTGAATGCAGCCCAAGCAGATGTTGAAATTGTTTGGTTTTTATGTGTGGAGGTGCCAAGTCTTTGAAATGATCCTCGCTGAGCTGCTCCACTGGGACCTCGGGCACAGTGTGGGAAGTCCTTGGAGCTGCTTCACCCTGAGTTTATCCCCTCTGAGCTCAGAAAGCCATGGCCAGCATTCCAAAGGGGCTTCTTCAGCCAGCCCCACCTAATCCCATGGAAGCAGCTCCAGCTGGAGCAGCACAGGAGGTCCCTGGGAGCATCGCTCAGAGCTGAACATGCAGAGCATTCCAGAACAGTTTGCTTGGAAAGGACCTTAAAGCTCAGTTCCACGGAAACCCTGAGATTCTGAACTCCAGTAAAAACACCCTTAAAGCTGAGAAGGAGAACAGCAGTGGGGTTTAGGAGTCCCCATTTGCAACTCAAACTCCCAAACCAGAGGACAGCTGCCCACCCCTGCAGCCCCTCTTCCTCCAAACACATCCCAGAGACTCCCTGAGCTCCACACCTCCTCAGAAAACCAGCACACAGCAGAGAGTTAGAGCAAACAATGGAAAATAACAGGAAATGCTCTGTGTTTTTTTAAGTCTCTTTATTGCAAATAAACACTGACAGATATTTACACTCAAGTGCACACAGCACACAGCACGAGCTGACAGACACTGCAGCGTTTTAAAACCTAAAAAAATAACCCAGAAGGCAGCAGAGCAGGAGAGTTCACAAGCAGCTGGGTAAAATCCCTCTCACCAAACACTCCAGACAGAGCTGCAGCTGCAAACAGCACCCAGGAGCAGGGGGACAGCGTGGGGACAGCATGGGGACAGCGGGGGTGGCACTGCCACTGCTCACCCAGAGGGGCAGGGGGTGAGGCTTGGGGACACCCCCAGGGCGGGTGGCTCTGGCCAAGCTGGTGTTGGTGCCTCTCCTCCCTCACCCCTTGGCAGCCAGGCCAGGCTCTGCTGTCACCCACCTGAGCTGCCGGGAAGGGGACACCTGGCAGGGGTGGCAGCTCTGAGGTCACTGCACACAGAGCAGCCAGGCTGGCTTTAACTCTTTCTCCCCGTTTTTCAGTGTTTTTTCCCAGAGATGGAGCAGTTTTAGCCCCAGCGCTCCTTTTCCTCTGCAGTGACACACTGGGACAGGCAGGTGCCACTGAAGGTGACAGCAGCCACCACCACCCTTGAAACAGAGGCACAGAAAGCTGGGGGCTCACAGAGACCCCCCCACTCCTGGGGAAAAGTTCAGGAAGGTGCCAGGCTCAGCTCCACACCTCCAAACCCACCCCCACACCTCCACACCCACCTCCACACCTCCAAACCCACCTTCACACCTCCAAACCCACCTCCACACCTCCAAACCCATCCCCAAACCCACCTCCACACCTCCAAACCCACCTCCACACCTCCAAATCCACCTCCACACCTCCAAACCCACCTCCACACCCCCAAACCCACCTCCACACCTCCAAACCCACCTCCACACCTCCAAATCCACCTCCACACCTCCAAACCCACCTCCACACCTCCACACCCACCTCCCCCTGCCCAGCCCATGATGCTGACCCCACTGACAGCCCGAGCTGCTGAGCTGTTCCACCAGAAACAGCTCAAAAACCCCGTTGCACAACGTTTGTTTGTTCTGGGGTGTTTGCACGCCCAGTGCCAAGGAAGTCAGGTGGTTTCAAGGAAATCCCTGGCATCACCCCAGCCCTGCACCCCCGAGGGCTCAGCAGGACCCTCAGGGTGATGATCACCTCCCAAATCTGCTGCTGCTCTGCTCCACACATGTTTGCTTACAACCTCTCCAAGGCTAAAATGCAGGAGGAAAAAGCTTTAATTAAAGCACCGAGGCACAAATGCTGCAGAGAAGGATGAAATTCCATCTCACAGCCCCAAAAGGGACCCCCAGCCACTGATCCAAACTGCAAAACATCCGATTTTCAGCAATGATTAAAAAAAAAAATCACAACCACCAACACGTCAACAGTGACATTCACAAATCCCAGCAGGTAAAAATATAGATTATTTTTGTCTCCTTACAATCATTTACTGCTCAGTGATACAAACATAAACTCTTCAGCAAGTTAGCCCAGCATTTTTGTGCGTAAACAACCTACAGTACATTTTCCACTCCTTTTTCCACAGAGCAGGAGGGGTTTGGTTGGAGGAGCTGGCCTGACAAGGACAGGTTTGTGCGTTCAGAGCATTTTGGAGTGTGACAGTGAGGACTGCCATGGACAGGCTCTAAACCTCTTCCTTCAACATTTTTTTTTTTTTCTTGTTTATTTCTAAGCACAAGAACATTTAAAACCCAAGACCAGACCTGGGGTAAAAACCCTGAGAAGAAAAACTAATAAAAACTCAATTTCTCACCACCAAATTTCACTCCTCTGTGGCACAGTTGCTTTAGATCAACACATTTTTCTGCTCCTCAGAAATCCTGAGGGGTCCACATTAGTGCCTTGGTCCTCTCTATCTCAGTTTTATCGAATTACAGCTCTGGGAGTGTTTAAAACAACCAAGTTTGAGCTCAAAATGCCCAGGTAAACCTCAAGCTCTGGGGCTGCTGAGCTCCTCCACAGCCAGGTCACGGTTCCCCTGCTGTGAAATTATTTACACATTTAAAATAAGCAACTTATTTTAAATTGCTCAGATAAATCCTGGAGTCACCTTGGGAACAGCAAGTCCAGAACAGCCTCCTGCTCTGTACCCAAATGTTCCTTTCTTCACCCACCATGAGGGTCCTGCCCTTATTGCAAGAACAGCTGGAGTGGGGTGAAATGGAGTTTGGCAAAACACAAGTCAAGACTTGTGGGAGAGAACTGAGAATTTGGGGTTTGGTGGGGATTTAAGGACAGGATTTAAGTTAAGACACAGCCACACAGAGCTGCACCACCTGTGCTCTAAACTCTACAACAGCTTAAAACTATGAAAGGCAGCGTTGGGAACATTCACAGCTTATTCATAGGCAAGTTAAAAGCTTGTTGTGGGCCTAAAATTTGGTGTATTATAAAGAAAAACTGGTAAAAACCTTGTGCTTCCTGCAAACCCTGCCCAGGAGCCCTGCTGGTCCCAGCCATAATCCCATTTTCTGGGGTAAATGGATAAAATGCAGGAAAAATGACTGAGGGGATGAAGTTTAGGTTGGGATGAGAAGCTAAAATAGGGATTGAGATGAGATTTAAAGCACTGGGAGCTGTGCTGCCTCCAGAGAGGGGCAGGAGGGTTTGTTCCCATCTGTCCCTCACAGGAGGCTGCCCATGGGATGGATGTGCTGGCCTGGTGTCACATCCAAGCAAAAACCTTCCCAGGGCAAAGGAACCAGCTCAGATTGGGGGGATTCACACCAGCACTCACGGAGGCAAAGTCAAACCAAACCTGGAGCTCCCTGGGCGGCTGAACAACAGAAAAAATTGAGTTTGAACTTGGAAATAACTTGGAGATGGTAACAGAGAAATAAAAGCTTGGGGATTTGGCCTGGAAATGCCTCTTCCAAAGAAAAGCTGCCTCAGTGAGTGAAAACATGATTATTTTGTCCTCCCACTGTGGTTAATTTTGGCACCTGGCCAGGAGGAAAGACGTGGGACACTGTTTCAACACCCGGGGATGCGTTGGCTTACGAGCGTTAAAAGCAGCTTGGAGAAATCCCCACAATAAATCTTCTCCAGCCCTGTGGACAGACATTCCAGCACTTGGAAAGAAAGGACATGGACAGGCTCTGAAGTCCCAGATCAAGGCGAGTACTGGCCAGGGTGGCTCGCGGTGCTCCGGGGATGCTCCAGTCCCAGCTGCCCGGCTCCTCCTGGCCCTGCAATTCCCAGCTGGATCCAAGGAAAGCAGGAGCCCCTACACTGCCAGAGTGGCCATTTTCTGCAGGGAAAAGAGAAACAGGAGAGCTCACAGCAAGGGAGGCAGGAGAGGGTAAAGCAGGAGACAGCTCAGCTCAGCACACGGGGAGGTGAATGCAGCTCCGTGGAATCGCTGCCCGTGGCAGGAACCACCTGAGGATTTACTTCATCCCTTCCATCCGAGCACACAAAAACCTGTTTCACTCTTCACATCACCTTCCAGCCCTCCTGAAGGGTGTTCCCATCGCAGCCTGAGCCCACACCAGCTGACAGTGGTGGAGAAGAGAGGCAGGTTGGTCACTCAGGGCTGCTCACTTTTATTTACCCTTCTCCACGGGCAGCTGCACCTCCAGAACCACCCAAGAACCATCACAACGACCATCCTGTGCATTAACCACAACAAATACTCAGAGCTTTGATAAAACTCCTCCCTCTGCCTCGCTCAGGGCCCAGCAGACACCAGGAACACACTCAGACAGTGAAAATCAGAGATAAATCCATGATCCAGTGACTCCTGCAAAATCCCCGAGAGCAGCAACGCCACCACACCTCGGGCCCAGGGGAGAGCCCTGCTCAGCTCCATCCCATGTCCTGATGCAGGGATGGAGCAAACTGGCCTTCAAACACAATTTGCAGCAGCCAGCACGAGCACAAGCACCAGTAAGCCCAGTTGGATCCCCCACTGAGGTCCCCCACAATCTCAGGTTTTATCCAGCACAAGATTCCTGCTGCTCCGTGGGTTTGTGGAGCCCAGAGTGCTTTCCATGCAACACGAATCAAGAGAAATCCGACTTACTAACCCCACAGAGAGCACACCCAAGCTGCTTGCAGTGGCACTCAGAGGCAAGCATTTCCCTCTGGAGGCTGCAAAGGAAACAGAGAAGCACAGCAGGGCTCTCAGTGCATCTTAAAGGAGACTGAAATAGGAAAAGCAGCAAAGCAAATGAGGGGAGGAGTGAAGCGGCCCCAAAATTTCCTGTCAGCCCAGGCCAGGTTTGTGTCGCAGCAGGAGGTGACAGAAGGCAGGGACATCACTTGGCTGCAGTAAAAAACTTGGACAAAGAGGGCATTTCTTACTTTTCCAATCAGGTTTTAGCCCAGAAGCAAAATCCTACCCAGAATTAACCCCCCTGATGGAAACCTGCCTGACACTGAAAGACTGGCACCAGAATTCCAGTTGGAATTGTGGGGGGGGATTTTTATGTTTTGGGGTTGGTTTTGAGGGTTTTTTCCAGCTGTTTGTTTTTCCTTAATGCAGTCCAGGCTGGGTGATTTTCATGCAGAAACACAGACCCTGCTGGAGATGCTGGGAAGGGTCTGGATCTCAGAGGGTGATGGTGGGGAGGGGGAGCAGAGGGAAGGTACCACCTGGACAGTGACTTCCAGCTGTGGCTGCTCAGCCCCTTCTCGAGCTTCCAGGGATGGGAAAGGCCCTCGAGCTTCCAGGGATGGCAGAGGCCCCAGCAGATGGAGGGGTTTGCTGCCCAGGCTGTGGTGCCGCGGGCGCTTTACGGTGTCGGCGCTGGCCCGCGGGGTAAAGCTGTTCCTCCTCATCCTCACAGGGCTCTGCCTGCTGGGGAGGTCGTGCTGATCCCACACAGAGGGAATCACCAGGAATGAAAAGGGGGAACCAGAGTTTAAAGGCACGTCACACACCACCAGCACCCCACCCTGTATCTCCCAGTGACCCCGCATCGGGCTGCGCCTTCCCCGGCGTGGGAAACAACTAAATCCATCGTGGAGACAACTGGAAAGTGATTTTTCAGCAGTTTTACCTCCCTTTGGGACTTTTGTTTTTCTTGGGTGGCTCTGTTTTGGTTTGGTTGGGGTTTTTTTTTAATTTTTATTTATTTTTTTTTTCTCTCTGCACAATCAATTTAAGGAGAAAAAGAAATAAGCAAGTAGAAAACTCTCCCTCCTTCTTCTGCCCCAGAGCAGCTGTGTTACCCAAGCAAAGCAAAGAACAGAAACAGCCTCCAGGTGGGCAGCAATGATTTCCATGCAGGGACAGCAGAGAAGTTGGAAAAGTGATAAATCCCAGAGTGGTTTGGGTTGGAAGGACCTTTAAACATCACCTAATCCAATTAAAAATCACCAAATCCTTTGCTGTGAGCAGGGACATGCTGGAAACCACGAGGATCCACACAAATCATGCCCAACATCCTCGGTTTGGCATCTGGCAGCTCCACAAACCCTCCAGCCACGGCTGCAGGTCCTGCTCTCCCCAGTCCCTCGTCACAACAGAATTACCAGACCCAAGAGCCCTTCGTGAAATCCAACAAAAAGCCTAAATCTACCAAAAACCACCCAAAATCAGATGCATTCAGACTTCCTGTGAGCTCCCAGAGCAGAGCTGGTTTGTGCTCCCTAATTGGGGGAATTAATTAGGGGCAATCACTGAGGCTTTTCCCTGACAGTCCCTTTGGAAAGCAGGGTTTGCAAAACCAAGGACCTCAAAGATCAGCAACTCCCCCGGGTTTGGGATGTGGTTACAAGGTGGATGGTCAACAGTCATTTAAATAATGGCAGAGAGGATTTCAGAACGAGAAAACCCATCAAGACAAAGAGAAAAATCCACTTTAACCCCTTTGCCAAGTCCTTTTGAAATCCCCAATAAGCATCAGCAACAGACTGAGAACTGAAAACTGAGAATGAGACCTGGAGTTTAAAATCTTTGCCCTAAATTTTCCCATTCTGCTCCCCACAAGAGAAAAGTATCCCCCCTGGCCTGGGCAGCACTGATGCACAATCCAATTAATTCTGCTTTTGGGGGAAGAGAATCCTTCTGCTCACTGAAAGGCACCAGGAAGGTCTAGCAAGTGTTCAAGAGGGTTTTGTGATTTATTTTGGGAAAGGTGAAGCCAGAGAGGTGCAGCAAAACTTACTGAGTTGAGGGAGGGTTTGTCCCTGTGGGTGTTGACTGCTTCCACATTCAGGGTAATTGTCTCCACTTTGCAGCCTTCACCCAAGAGAAAGAGAAGCTTATATGAGTAATTTATTAAAAAAACCAGCAGGGAAAGCAAACAGGAATAAATTTCTTATTTATAAAAAATAATGCAGCTCATAACTCCACAGTTCACCCCACAAACAGAATTTTACACTTCATTTGGTGGATTTTACATGTGAGAGCACAGCCCTGCGTTATTTGGGCTGCACAGAAAAGCAAATTTTAACTGACTGCACCCCAAGTTTGCAGGCACAGCCTTCCCCACCCATAGGGAAAATCCAATTGTTTAAAAGAGAGGCCAGGAGAGAAGACCCTGCACCTCCTCATCTGCTCACCCAACACCCCCAACCCTCCAGAAACCTTTCCTGTGGGAACATTTTGTATGTTGAGCAGGAAATAATCTAATTGTGTATTACCAAAACCTCCCAGAGATTGGCCAGGTGCTGCCACACCTGGACACAAACCTGCCCATAACATCCCCAACACACAAACCAGGACAGGAATCCAAAATAAAAATTAAAATAAAGCAGTTATTTACCATAGGCAACAGGTGTGAGCTTGAGAATGGTGTGGAGGGGGCAGCGCAGGTAGGGCAGCTCATCTAGGGCAGAGAAAGGGGTTATGGGGTCACCTGGGATGTCACAGCCCCCCTCCTGTCCCCTCCCCTGCAGGGATGTCCCTGCCCATCACAGGGGGCTTGGACCAAACCCTTTGAAGGGTCCCTTCAACCCAAACCATTCTGGGATTGAATGGGAATTGTGCTGGGAATAGAAGCAGCCAGACATTGACTCAGCAGCGAGACCCAGAAACCCCAAATACAGGAGCTGGAAATGAGAGTGGAGCCTGATCTGGCTCAGGGCTCTCCAACACCTGGCACTGCTGGGTTAAGGGTTGGACTCAACCCTCTAAAAGGGCTTTTCCAACCCAAACAATTCCGTAATTCCATAATTTCCAGTGCACAGGGCCAGCCAGAGGAGACCCGTGGCACAGGGCTGGGAAAACACCTCAGCAACAGCTGCCATGGGCCCACAGGAGATTTATTCAGAGCTGTATTTAAAAACTTATAAAGTTCTTTAGAGGTTTATTAACTTCATTAAAAAGTTTTATGAAGCTCTAGTGCCGCTCACTGGAGCTTGCAGCACCGCTCACTGGAGCTTGCAGCACGCTGGAACCTTCCAGGTGTGTGTGCTGTGCAAGGAATCAGCATGATTTTCAAATTTCCCTGGGATGGAGCAGTCCTGCCAACCCTTCCAGGCTGCTGAGGCTCTTTAATTCAGCAGAAAACTTTTCCTTTACGTTAAAAATTGGTCCCCTACACATTCTGCAAGCTGAAAACAGCTCCAGAAACAACATCTGGGCAGAAAAAACCAGCAGCACATCCCCAGGGGAGCTCCTTTCCCTGCTGCAGGGCAAGGGTTAAAGCACCACTGAAACGTTTCCTTTCCTCCTTTTTTAAAAGTTAAAAAAATAAAAATATAAAAAATCCACCCAGACATTCCAAACCACCCTCCCAAAAAGGAGAAGCAGGGAACCAGCCCAAGCATCATCCCTTTATTTTTGTACCTGCACTCTTGTCAAGAAAATAAGCCAGGAGGCACCTCATAACTGCCTGGTGGGAGATAACCAGGACGTTGCCTTGCCTTTCCAGCTCCATAATTACAGGCTCCAGGCGCTGCACCAAGTCCTGGTAGGACTGAAAAACCAAACAGGAATTGGTCAAGGGGTTGTGTAAACACAGAGGGTAAAGCAGAGGTGGCAATTAACAGCGTCACATTCAGGGAAATATCACTTAAAGCAGCAAGATGAGGAGGTTATGGGTGATGTGGTAAAAATAGCGGGAGAAAAAACCCAAAAAAAGCTAAAGCAGAAAGTGAAATTCGGTGTCAGAACCTTCAGACCGTGGGAGGGCTCAGATTACTGGTAACTCATTGAGTGCAGTCAGGAAAAAAACCCAAATAAAATAGTGAGTGATTCATTGAAACAGGCTGTGAAGTAAACTCAGAAATGACTCCAGGTCACACCCACGATAATTTTGTTTCCCAGATGGTTTCTCAGTGACAATTCAGGCCTGGGATGCAGAACCCCTCGGTGTCTGAGGGCAGCATCCAAATTAATGGATTTAAATTGGATCTGCACACCCCAGTGAGGGAAATCAAGAAACATTTCCCCCAAAAGAGAATCGGGGATCCTAATGTTCTCCATTTGCATGCAAATATTGGCAGAATAACTTAAAATTAAAGAATATTTTGAATTAAAAATAACTAACTCGTTAAATAGCTTAAAATTAAAGAATAACTTATAATAAGTCAGTTTTAACTCTAATTCCACACATTTGTTGACTGCACTGTGCATTGTTGTTTTTTTAGGGTCCTCACCTCCCCTCCAGGATAACGATAAAGATATTTCTCCTGATCCCTCATGGCAAACTCCTCTGGATACTTGGCTTCGATTTCTGCATAGGTCATTTCTTCACAGACCCCCTGAGGGAAGGAAAAACTGGTCACCACAAACCTCATTTCATCAGAGAGCCAACGGGGAGGGAAGGAAAAGCAGAGGCTGAGATCAGGGATCCCTTTATGGCATGGAAATTTTAGGTGCTGCATCTGACCCAGCCCTGCCCCCAGTGTGGGTTCCAGGGTGGTTTGAAGAGGCTGGGCTTTGGTTTTATCCCAAAACCAAACAGAGTGACATCCCTGGGGTTTGCAAGGGATGAAAAATGAGCTCTCGCTTCCCCAGCAACCACCCTGCAATTTCCTGAGAGAATCAGAGTGGGAGCAGCGACCTTTGCCCAGCCAGGAGGGTGTGACAGATGTCTGGGATGCTCAGTGTTATTTTCCTGGTGTCCCCAGCAACACCTGGCAGCTCTGAACACCCTCAGCCCTGCACCAAACCAGCCCAAAGCTCATCCTGGATGGCTGAGATCCGTGATCCAAAAACATGGCTATAAATCAACAGAAAACACCTGGCTTTATAGGGATTAATTTGGCTTTAAACATTATTTCCCACCTAGAAAAGCTGAGGTTTTTTAAGCAGCCTCTCACTCACAGCATCGATCTCGTTGAGGATCTTCCACTGCTCGTAGAGCACCCCCAGGGACTCGGCTGTCTGGATTGTCCTCTTCAGCTGGCTCGTCCACACCTTCAGGTCCACGATCTCCTGCTCCTCGATGAACTTCTTCAGTGCCTGGGAAAACTGGGGGGAAAAGCTCCAGGTTAGGAGGGTGATGCCTTCTTGGGCTCCCTAAAAACAGAGGCCAGACAAAATGAAGGGAATGAAAAGCAGTTCTATTGACTGAAGGGCTTCCAGGTACATTTTGGGCAGACAAAGCCTCTCCCAGGGGCTGCACACAAAAATGGACCACAGCTCACAGGTTGTCACACTTTTAAAAGTTTGGTTTATTTGTATATTGAGGGTTCATCTTCCAATTCCAGCTTCAGGAAATGAAGTCATTTACCCCAAGTTTGCTCCCCCCAACTCACTTTTGTTTCCATCTCGCAGGGCCTGAGGCAGGGAGGTGTCCTTGATCCCCAGGCCTGGAGAGGAATTTTGTCTGACCAAAATGGGAAAGCAGCAGCTGACACTGTGTGTGGAATTTAGAGTTCTACATGAAAGAACTGCAGGATTGCAACAGATGAAAAAGCTGAAACCCTGAGGCATCAAGAAGGCAGGGGAAGCTGCAGCTGCTCAGAGCATCACTGGGGGCTGCAGTGGCAAGAAGGCAGGGGAAGCTGCAGCTGCTCAGAGCATCACTGGGGGCTGCAGTGGCGAGGATCCAGCTCTGGAGAATTCAGATTTTAGCCTTTACAGTTTTCAAATCCTGTACTCCATTAGTGCCTAACTCTGAACTCCAAATAAAGCGTTAACTACTGTCTCCACATTTGGGTCAGACAAAACAATCCCTCTGGGCCTGGAACTCAAAGAAACCCTGCAGCTTCAGGCCCCAAAAAGTGAAAACAAAAGTGAGCCGGGGGGGCAGAGAGCTGGGGGAATATAACTTCATTACCTGAAGTTGGAATTGGAGAATTAAGCCCTGATATGCAAATGAACCAAACTTATTTCAGTCTGAAAAACTTGTGACCATTGTCCATCATAGGTGTAGCCTCTGGGAGGCTTCTGACTGCCCAAGGGGTATCTACAGAAGGCTTTTAATAAATGCCCACTCTTATTCTTTTCATCTTGTCCAGCCTCTGTTCCAGGCAGCCACTCCAGGGCATCACCCCCAAACCCCAGGGCACATCCCCAGCCCCCAGGGCATCACCCCCAGCCCCCAGGGCATCACACCCAGTCCCCAGGGCATCACCCCCAGCCCCCAGAGTACAGCTCCAGCCCCCAGAGCATCACCCCCAGCCCCCAGAGCATCACCCACAGCCCCCAGGGCACACCCCCAGCCC